GGAGGGAGGGAGATCTATTTGGCACTGAAAGAAGGATTATGTCAAGCTTGGCAGGGGAGTGGCATGATGATGGAGAATAGAGAACCGTCTTGAAGGTGAGCTGGCCCTTAAAGAACAGGTAGAGACGTGTGCAGACCTGTCTTCAGGTAAGGGACAGCGAAGCTGAAGTATGGGAGTCTGGGGCAGCTGGCAAAGAGCAGACTCTCCAGGCTGACTGTGTGCAGGGACACCGGCTTGTGACAAGGAGTGTGGCCTTGATAAGTGGGACAGGAGGTTAGAGAGGAATAACCACACAGCTTGGCGTAAGACTGAAGATGATGAGGCGACGCAGGAAGGACCACGGTGAGGGCAGGAGATGGTGGTAAGGGACACGAAGACAGAATTAAACGAAGTTGTCAAGTGCTGACCTCTGTGAAATACCTGTTCCCTCCCAACAGCTTAAAAGCACAGGCTTTTGGGGCAGTTAGACCAGAAGTTAAACCCAGACCATCCTCTGCTTGTATATAAAATGGGGATAATTCCGCCTGCCTCTGAGGGTCACTCCCAGGATAAATGCCACTGTTTGTTTAGAATCTGGCACATTGCAAATGTTTAGCACATGCTAGTTATTTTACTGTTACTGTTGCTTTGTAACAAAGGAGGAGGGATTGGAGAGAAATGAGAAGCTTCAGGCATATAAGGCTGAGAAAAGCATCAGTGCACTGCGGGAAACAGGGAATGGAAGGGGCAGGAGGCTGGGAGCTGATGTCCACGGGCACTGAGCTGGAAGTCACGAGAGGGAATGGTGCTTTCAGGAAATCTGGTGAAGAGAAGAAGAGGGTCATGGGAGAGCTGAACACGATTATCTACTGAGAGTGAAACAACGGATGAGGCAGGGACCTCAAAGAGGCCCCAGGGGACCAGACTGAGGGGTCAGCCTCGGAGGGGCTGTTTCCTCTAGTCTGTGAGCTGGGGACAAAAGAAGAGAAGGTGAGTGAAAAATACAGAAGTTTTCCATGTGGAGAAGGGGAAAGGAGACACAATTTATATCAGGGATTTTACTTTCTTTGTAAAGGCTGAGGCAGTTCACTCATCCACCGAGTACTGGAGGGAACACCGAGGGCTGGGAACCTAAGAAACTAGAAAAGCTTGAAGTAGGCAGACCGGGGATAGGATACAGTCAGTTGTACGGGAATGAATGCCCCTCTGTGAGTGCAGAACACAGAGTCACCGCCGGGGCCAGTGTGGACTGCCCCAGCCGTGCCTGGGGTGCTCGCAACACTACGGAGGCCTTTCCTTCCAGTCCTTTGCTGCCCTTGTTCATCACCAGTGGCTGCTGCATCTATAGTCATGCAGAGAGCCTGGCAATACACTCTCCGTTGGTGAACTTGGCTCTGCTCTGCATTTGTTCTTTTCCCGATTATAGCACATTTCCAATGTGTCAAGATCTCTCTGGCCCAGAAGGCTGTGATTTAAGCTGGTGCTGGCTGCCACTGGTCAGAGCAGCGCGTGCAGTGTGGCTAAAGGGGACGTCTGCAGGGACATGCTTGCTTGTCCTCTGTTTCAGGTGCGGAGACCGCAGCTGGGCCCAACTGGGCAGTTGCGGGCCTGGTCTGAGTTGAAACTGCCCTAGAGTCCTACTGACACAATCTGTCAGGCGGGGGGGAGGATCGGTAAATAAAAATGGAATGTTTAAGGTTAAAAGCAATATTCCTCTTAAACAGGGCTGATTTACAGTCTATTTATAAAGTAACCGGCCATGCCCCATTATGGATCATGGGGAACACCAGCAGAGCGGCCGCTCACTCAGCCCTCCGCTCTCAATAAGGGTGATGGGAAGCTGGTGCGCAACCCCCGCGGGGAAGGCTGATCACTGATCATTTCCTAAGCCCTCTGCTGCCCGACTTCTTCCCTCTGAACAGTCTTCTAAGGCAGATGGGACCACTGCCTTGCCTTTTCCACAAAGGGAACGCGAAGCACAGCTTCGGGTCACTCGACTAGTAAGTAGGCTGCCCAAATCTTGGAGATAAGTTTGCCTCTTGGAAATTATTTAAAAAACACCACCACCAAAAACAAAATCCACCACAAAATTTAGTGGTTGAGGGCAGCTGTCTTGTTAAGGAACCTTCCCTCCACCGTACTCTCGAGGGATGGCTTGGTGGGAAAAGTCGTGACAGGACACAGGAGAGCTACGAGCGCTGTACACTGTCCTTAAATAGTAATGACTGTAATTATTTTCAGCGATCAGCATCTCTATTGTGTCTGCTCACATTTTTGAAAGGAATCACGTTACTATTTATTCTCTAATCCTACTTTATGTCTTTTTAATATTGATTTTCTTTTTATCTTGCTTTTATAATTCTTTTGATCACTTTGGCTTCCCTTGAGATGCTGATTTCCTTTCCTTCCCAGCTGGTCTATTTATTCTCTTACAAAGCCTCCCATCAGTGTTCCCCACATAATATGTACTTTGCTTCCTCTGCAGTACCCACAGAGGAAAACATGTCAGAAGGTTGTACAGGGAGGCTCACAGACTGTGGAGCAGAGAAGCTCCTCGCAGGGAGCTCTGTGTGAGCCAGTTTCAGAGGGAACTTCCACGTGAAATGCTTTCCTTTGCTGACCTCTGGACCTGTGTTTTGTCTTCACTCATTTTAGGAGACAGCCTCCTCCGTCATTAGCTGAGCGGCACTGAAATAGATGCCCAGAGATCTGTGGCTAAGACGCCTCACCACTGACAACAACATGTTTTCCTTCCCTCCTTCCCTCCCTCGCAACCCCCCCACCCCGAGGGCTGGGGAGGCCCGTTGAGACATCTGATTGAAAATGTACTGATAAGGATTGAAAGGCCTTCACAAATATTCAAATATTTGTTTTCTTCCATCTCCCTTGCTAATACTTTCTTTTGTCCCTCTACTGACATTCTAGGTTTCTGTTACTCTGTTATCTGCTTATCAAACTGTCTTTTATATATTTTTAAAAGGCTTCCAATGACTGCTCTATTTTTCTAAGCCTTTCAACATTTTTTTTTTTTCAACTTTGACAGCTTCCCAAAATTGCAGAAAGCAAAGGTCACTATGGATGGCTGACTCTTGGTTTGATGAATCAACTCTCATTTCCTAGCAACTGTGACACAGAAACATGAAAAAGAAGGTATTACAAAGCTAGAAATGCTAATTCCCTCTCCTCCATAATTAGTTCTTGAAATAATATGAACTATTTTGATATAATAAATATTCTACAGTAGCTAACATTTATTGAGCACTTGCTATATTATATGCTAGGTATCATGCTGATGGCTTCATGTGCATATTATTTAATTCTCCAAATGACCCTAGGAGACAGTGCTACTACTGACTCCACTTTATAAATGGGGAAACTGACAAAAGTTACAGAGTTATTAAACAGAATTGAAACTCAGGTCTGTTTGGCTCCAGAGTTGGAATTTATAACCTAAACACTATTCTATAGACAGAGAAATGAGAACACAGTAATACCTCTCAAGTGTGTTTTAAATACTCAAAGCAGAAGGGGTTCAGGTGCCAGACGCCCGAATTGCAACACGTCAGGTCAGTCAGCCTAAGCAATGCTAACCAGGGGAGCAGAGTGTTGTTGCAGGGAAGTTGTTTTCTAGGCTGGGTCTCTCCTGGTTTAAGCTAAACTTCCAACACCGGAGGTCAGTGGCATGCTGTACAAAAAAGACTGATTTCCATGCTGAGATTTTTGTGTCTTGATATTTGGATTCGTTTTTAGATGTGCTGGATTGGTAAGAAAAAGATGAAAAAAAAAGCAAACAACCCCCCCCAANATTTGGATTCGTTTTTAGATGTGCTGGATTGGTAAGAAAAAGATGAAAAAAAAAGCAAACAACCCCCCCCCCCCNAAACAACCCCCCCCAAAAAAAAAAAAATCACAGGCAAATTTTACCTATTTTAAGTAGAAAAGGAACAAAAAGTAGGAAAAGAAAATTAAATTCAACAGCATATAAACCAATGGATCCTAGTTCCAACTCTTGGTATCTCCGATTAATTTGTGTTTCTATGTGAACGTGAAGAATCCAGTTAAGCATTCTCTACAAATTCTCTAACCAGAACAAATGTTATGAATTTTAAAAGAAACTGAAGTAGTTGAGTGCAGTAGAAAAGGCATGGGGCAGTGCTTTTGGAAATGACAAACAGACGTGGCTTTCAATTCCAGATGGAATCTGATTTTGGGTAAGTTACTAAACTAAACTGTTCTAGGTGTGGGTCCTCAGTTGCAAAACAGCAACAAAAATGCCCAGTAGCACAGTCTTTGCTGTCAGACTCACAAGAAATAACACGTGCGCAATCCCTAGCACAGTGCCTGGCACAGAGCAGGGTTCAATAAATGCTGGTAATTTTCATTCCTCCAATAAAATCCCCAGGTGCAGCATGAAAAATAAAAAGTGAAAACCATTTTCTAAATTTTGTCCAATTGCAAAATCCCCAAATTGTAATGGAATATTTGGGGCTACACACCCATTACCCAGGAGCACAATAGCAGCCACTCCACAGTCTGTTGTTTATCAAAGAACGTGATGTCTGATATTGGGCCAAGCATGTTCCAAATGCAACAGAACTTCAGTGAAGGCAGAATAGGGCAGAAAAGGAGGGTCTCAAAACCAAGGCCTTACGAAAGCCCAGTCTGCTTCAGGCTGAAAATTCTCAATTTTAATTCAAGCAGTTGTGATCCACCACCCCTCCCCTCCAGCAAGCCCACTAGCAGCTGTTCTGTTTTTCAAGAAATTTTCAGTCACTCACTCATGGAACATGGCATCCTACCTAGTCTGACAGGACAGGATGAGTGGCCTGATGATCACTCTGCCACAAGGACCAGCAAATAGACAGACAGTGAAGGGTACATGTCTTTTCTGAGGTGACCTAACAAGTCATTTACAAAAAAAATTTTAAATAGCTCCTACTCTCAGACTTACCCAAATGAGTCATATTTTCTCTGTCACTCAATGGCTCTAGGCTTTATTTCATCTTGCTCACAAATCCCAACACAGGCTTGGTAAAAACGCCTCAAATTATACCAATCAGTAAGTTTTTATTGACTGTTTACAATCAGGCTCCTGCTATACCAAGTGCCATAGGGCCAGCTGCCCAATGTGAGGCCTGAGCCCTGTACTACCCTGACCCTGGCAGGCCTCATAAGCAACCCAGGCCCCCTCCCTGTGGCAACTCACTGCATCGCCTGGCAGTCACCGGCCTGGCTACCTGTCCCAAGCTTACCTTTCTAGGCACTATTATTATTTTTAACCTTCCTCTGCTCTTATGGTCCCAGTGTGTCTTGGGGTGTGTGTGTGCATGTGTGTGTCCAGATTTGCACTGTTGCTTCTCCCACCAAGAACCTCCTCTTTGCAGCTGTTCACATGAGCCATTCTTTACGACTCTTGTCAAATCCCATCTCTTCCAGGAAGCCTTGCTCTGTCACTGTCTTTGGAGGTGCTTTCTTCTTTGAATCGACTACAGGTTGGCTTACTGTACCTCTAAGAGGACAAGTAGTTATCCATGCATCTATCTAATCTGTAAACTCAGGCAGGATCGGAATCATCTCTTATTTCTGGTATTCGCTATGGTAGCTTTCTCATACCAAAGGCGTAAGTAATATCTGTGGAGTGTATAACCCTGGCGGAAGAAACTGCATTAGAAGTGAGCCTTTAAGACCAGGAAAGATGAACAAGGCTATGGAGACCAGCTTTGACGTGAGGATAGCCTTCGCAAAGGGAAGGCACGAGAATGCATGAGGTTCTTTCAGGGCACAGCAAAGATTTTACCTCAACTTAAGGCTTAAACAGCAAGATTGCTAGTAGTGGCTCATGAGACTGGTCTTGCCTCAGCCCCCCAAAGTGAACTTCACTCTGCAGGCTCTGGATAACCAACGAAGATCTCTGAGCATGAGCGCTACTATCAGAACTCTGAGTTATTGGAAGCAGTCTGAAATGCATAAAAAAGTCAGGCCCAGAAGTGAAAATACCAGTAAGATATCCATTGCAATAGTTTAGGGCACGAAGAGGCAACAAGAGCCTGAATTAAGGGAAGTGGCTTTGGAAGCATACAAAAGATTACAGAGGTAGGATCGAGAGAGTTTTAAAAAATAAGGATGTGAAGGATTCCAGTCTGAGTAACTCTGTGGATGGTGGTTCCATTAACAGTAAATAAACAAACGAGAGAAATAGAGTGTTGGGGGAAAAGATGAATCCACTCTGAATATCTTGAGTGTGGGGTCTTATTAAGACAGTCGGGTGAAGATATCTAAGTGGTAAGGATAAGTCACGCTGGAACTCAGGACAGACATCGGAACGGAAGGTCCAGGCCGGACAGTCATCCGCTGACAGCTCACAGCTCGAGCCAGTAGAATGGAGGAGCTGCCCAGGCACACGGCGTGAGGAGATGAGACGGGCCAAGGGCAGATCCCCTCCTAATGTCGCTGGAGGGTGGCAGGAGCAAGGCGGATGCTCAGGCAGGCGGGAGAAACACGGGAAAACCAGAACAGGATGGTGGCACAGAAGTAAAGGCAAAAGCAAGAGTCTTCATTTAGAAAACCAACAACAAGAAATACCAAATCACTTACCTTGTCGAAAAGATGAAGGTTAAAAGCATAAAACCCAGCTGAATAGAAAATACTGGAAAAGAAAGGATTGAATCTAAATTAGCGCTATAAAAGTGTATCTGTAGCATACTTACTGGCACGTTTCGTTTGATCTGAAACTTATGGGAACTCAAATAGAAAAACAAACAAGCATAAGCTGCTGGACTGATAAAATCATTAAATTAGTGGGACTCAACCTGTTCTTACTGAAGATATCCCCAGATACAATGCAGGAGGTCTACTACCCATGGCAATCTAAAACCTTCTTTGATTTAAGATTTGGTTATTTAATTTGTTCAGTTTATAAAGAGCTCGTTTATACTATGTGTATTTATAGCAAATAGTATAAATGTGATAGGATATAGTAAATATTTTGGAATAACTCATCTTGATTTTTAATAACATAAGATTCTTCGATATTACAATTACCAATAGTTAGTTGTCTTTGGTACTACAGGCTAATAGAACAAAAGATTTCCCTCCCCTCCCCT